ACACAGACTCTGAATGAGCCTGTGGATGTGTGTGTGTTGGCTTTTTGCAGACGTGCGCTCTTGCTCGAGTGTCCCTGGCGCCTCCGTCTTTCCTGGTCCCCGCGGTGAACCGGCTGACCCTCCTGATGCCCTCCCTGGCGCCACACGTACGCACACCCAAAAACACACAGGAGAAGAATCCATTTCCCTGTCCACCTGCCTGTGTGTGTGTGTGAAGAGCATCGCGTTGCTGACGGGCGCACTGGACAAGATGACAGAAATTGGTGCTGACAGGCAGGTCGCGAAGGTGATCCGCCGGTTCCGAAGCCGCCTGTCGGAGCACATCACACGAGCTGCAGCGGACGGTACAGATGCGCCCTTGAAGTAGACAGGACAGGATAGCTCATCTCTCTCTCTCTCTCTGTGTGTGTGTGTGTGTGTGATAGAAAATGGTGCCGATGCCGAGGCGTAATTTGCCGGGATATCCCGGCGACCTGAATGACCTTCATTGTATCCACCAATTGCGCACACACATGGAAGGTGAGAAAAGGCCGCCGATCAATTGGCGAATTCATGCACCACATGCATCTCTCTGAGTCTCTGTGCTTGTTTGATGCAGGCAGATCGATGTGATGGAGGGCGTGACGGCTGGCTGGCATGCGGTTAATTGTGCTGTGTGTACATAGCAGATTGATTGCACAGCTATATAGATTTGATATGTATGTCAAAGCGCATGGTGTCATATTAGTCTGCATACACAGACCGACGGACGGTTGCTTCTCTCTACGATGAACTGAACAAACCTGTGTGTGGGTGTGTCCGCCGCCTGCTGCTGCACACGCGCATTCACAAAATTCGCAAACCCCACGCATAGCTAGGGTTTAGATGAGCACGTCAGCCGCCGCCCCGCCCCCCTTGCAATGGGAGAAAGCCTCCGACCCAGCGATCGGCAAAATGCGAGCTTAGACGTGTGAAAAGGGAGAAGCATGCGCACCAAACGCCCAGATCAGCAGCAGAGAGGCTCACAGGAAGGCCACACACGCAGCCAGGAGCAGCCAGAAGATCAGATAAGCTGACTGACATCTCTCTCTGTGTCTGTTGTCTGTCTGTGTGTGCAGGTCCCTCAAGATGTATGGCTGTGTTGGTTGCGCCAAGAGCCGGAGGCTCATTCGTGTGTCAGTCAGAGGATTGCTCTCGATGAGGGAGGGCTTTGCTATGTGCTGATTGATAGGCCTCTGTCTGTTCACAGTAGGTGCGTTTGCCAATCGCACTCACAGACATGGTTCTCTGTGTGGGGTGTTCTGACCGTGTGCGGGAGATTCCTGGGCGGCAGATTGATTGACCAGGGCATCCAGCCCGACACGACACGCACAGCCGTCGAGCGGAACTTTCTGACGCGCAGCGGAACTTCTCTCTATGCATGAGTGTCATCTATCTCTGCAGGCACGTCTTTCGCTCTGTGGGTGAGGCCCGGCCCATCCAACAGATGGATCAATTGCACCCTTGGGTTGTTCACACAGGTGCCGAGAGAGAGGGGCAGGTCAGCAAAACTGACGACGCTACGCAAGCGCAAAAGAATGTCACCATTTTGCCACTTTTGACCGCAGGATGATCCTTGTCGGCCACCTGTAGGCCCACATACGACTGATAGAGAAGTAATATTGGTACCCCTGGGTGCGAAAACATATGAAACAACCTATTTAGAACCGACTGTTTTTGTCCGACCTACTTCTCTCTCTCTCTCTCTCTCTCTCTCTCTGTGTGTGTGTGTGTGTGTGTAGATGGCCCTGAATGCCTTTGCGCGTGTAATCATCATGAACACCTACCTGCTTCAGGTCACCGCCAGTCGCAGTGACCGACACACACACACACACACAAGGACATAGACAGACAGACAGAGAGAGAGACAGACAGACACAAACATGCGTTTGTGTGTGCTGTGACAGACGGTGGCCTCTCGCCTGTCGAAAGAGTTTCTCTGCTCATTCTCTCCAAGAGCCACCGCAATCATCATGAACGCATACGCCAAATTCGGGTGGGTAGGTGGTTTGATATGGACGGATGGATCAGACGGACAGAGGACGCCACGCCCACCACACACATACACGTGATCGAATGAATGCAGGTACAAGGACGCTCGGCTGTGGGAGCTGCTAATTTGGCGTGCGACGGGCTGCATCCGGCGGAGCGACGGCAGGGACCTAGTCGCCATGGTCAGTCAGCACAGACACACAGACTCTGAATGAGCCTGTGGATGTGTGTGTGTTGGCTTTTTGCAGACGTGCGCTCTTGCTCGAGTGTCCCTGGCGCCTCCGTCTTTCCTGGTCCCCGCGGTGAACCGGCTGACCCTCCTGATGCCCTCCCTGGCGCCACACGTACGCACACCCAAAGACACACAGGAGAAGAATCCATTTCCCTGTCCACCTGCCTGTGTGTGTGTGTGAAGAGCATCGCGTTGCTGACGGGCGCACTGGACAAGATGACAGAAATTGGTGCTGACAGGCAGGTCGCGAAGGTGATCCGCCGGTTCCGAAGCCGCCTGTCGGAGCCAGGCACATTACACGAGCTGCAGCGGAAGGTACAGATGCGCCCTTGAAGTAGATAGGACAGAAGTGCTCATCTCTCTCTCTCTCTCTGTGTGTGTGTGTGTCTGAGTGTGTGTGTGTGTGTGATAGGAAGTGGTGCCGCTGACGAGGCCTGACTGCCGGGAAATCCTGGCGACCTGAATGACATTCATTGTATCCACCAATTGCGCACACACATGAAAGGTGAGGGAAGGCCGCCAATTACTTGGCGAATTCATGCACCACATGAATCTCTCTGAGTCTCTGTGCTTGCTTGATATGATATGCAGGCAGATCGATGTGATGGAGGCCGTAATGTGACGGCTGGCTGGCATGCGGTTCCTCTGTGCACGTGTGTACATACGTAGATTGATAATTTACGTAGATAGAAGGCACATGGCGTCAAATTACACTCATCGGGCGTCAGCAATGGTTGACCGATGGCCGATATACGATTCGTTGAGGCGTTTGGGATTCGCCGAGTTTACAAAAGGGGGGCGAATTGGGGACAGTCGAGACTTTTGAAGTTTCCTCCACTTTTTGAAGCCGGTTTCGCTCGTTTTCGCTCTCGCGCCAGCTTGTCCTCATTGCCCTGAGCAGCAGCAGCCGACGACGCGCTCTCCTTCACGTACCTGCTTTCTCCCTGTTTTCGCCTTCACCTGCCGTTGCCTTTCCGCACAGTACCCCCTCCCCGCGCAGCACCCACGCAGCCCTCCGACATGAGGCCAGGTCCGCGGGCGAACACTGACAGAAAGGTGAGTTGGGTGGTCTTTCTCATATCAAGGGATGGTGTGTAGTGCAGGGGGAGTGGCGAAGAATTGGGGAATGATATGATGGAGCTGCGGGAGGGCGTGTGGGATTGCACGTGTTCGTCCGTTTGGGTTCGTCTCTGTGTTTCAGGCGCTGCTGAGGACACACGTGGAGCAGTCAACACAAAGACCGACATTGTGGTACAGGCGAGGGACACCGAGGGGCACAAGCAGACGACACATCAGCAAGAGAGAAAGTCATTGCTCTCTGTCGGTCACGCTTGTGCAGATTGAGGGGAAACGCAGCACCGACACGCTGTCAACACAACCAAGCCAGAGCTTCCAGGATGAGGGAAGAGGGAGGTGGGCGTGGTGAAGAGGGTGGGAAGGCGAGAATCTTGTCGCCATCCATCAGTCGCATCTGTTGGTCTCCCACAGCGAACCCCCAGCTGATTATCTTCCACTGCCGGACCGCCTACAACACAGATTTCCATCTGGACCACTTGCCGCCCCTCTCGAGCATGAACAGTCGGCGGCTGAGCTCTTCGATGAGCATCCTCGTGGCCACCGTGACAGCCACCCCCTGGGTGAGCTGAGGAATGGGCGCCTGCACCAACACATCGGGGCCGAGTGACGCCACCACAATGGGCAGTAAGCGGGTGAGGATGGGCAGCAGGACGTTAGCCGTGAGGGAGATGGGTTGCACAGGGGAAATGGGCGGCTTGCGGTCGGTGTCGATAAGGCGCAAGTAGGCCACCTGTGAGTAGCTCGTCACGTGTTGGGCAATCCTCGGCATCACGAAGGCTGGCGCCCTCGTGCTGCTGCTGCTGCTGATCGAAAGACGATATACTGCGGGAACCTGCAACTCAATCAACACACAAACATCTGTGTGACTGCATGATTTTGTCTTTCTGCAGTAAAAGTGTCGGTCACCATTGGCAGAAGATGGCGACAGCAGCACCGCCCGACATCTGCGCGTCCTCAAACATGACATGAGTTGACATGAGTGAATGCATGACTTGAGAGGGAAGGAAAATCGATCTGTGCGCATCCAGGCGGTTTTCCTTCCCTCTCCCTACCTTAGTTGGCTGCTTGACCACACATGGTTCTCTCTTTCTCTTTCGCCCTGTTGCTCAACCGCACCAGATACGGGAAAGCGCCGAAAGTCTGCCAACATCACACATACATCACACAGATGTCATCAACTGGTCCCGCCTGCTTGCCCCAAGTTACCTCACCACCTCGTCAGATCAGCGTCACTCAAAAAGACAATGGCGGCACCTGTGTGGATCGTTAGCATCACAGCAGCTCTTTGTCCATCTCACAGACATCCACATGGCCCTGTTGTCACCAAAATGCGCAAAGAAGAGATCTGCAGGCCAAGCTCGCAGTGGTTGGCAGCATTCAGAGGACAGGCAGGGGACGCGTCAAAATGCCGCAAACATGCAGATGCTTTTTTCGTGTCTGTTGTGTGTCTGCAGATCTCTAACGTCACGGCTTGGAGATCTCACAGCAGTCACGATGCAGCCCACTTCTCCTGCGGTGCCATCATCCCGTCCCGCCAGCCCTCCCCGTTTCCAGCCACCAACCCTCTTCCACGGTGGCCTGATGGCATTTCCTGATACCGCTGCCCGCGCTGCTTCTTTGTGCGTTGGGTTCCTGCAGATCTCTCGTACGTCCACGCACTCCCTGGTGCCACGACGCCCCTGCCACCGAATGCTATCTCTTCATTCATTCAGCCACTGCTGGCCATCAGTGACTGACTCGGTGCTGACTGATGGCATCTTCGGTGCCGTGGAGCGGTGGCGTGGGCGTGTGGGATCTATCAACCATCACGGCCCCTCCCGCATTCACCTACGTGCTGCGGGCGGCCTATGTGCTGGAGCAGGGCACCGATGCGTGGCGTCTGATGGAATGGTTCATCCGCCTGCCAATGGGCTGACCTGGTGTTGTCGGCTCAGTTGCTGATGACCCACCTTCCCAGCAGGACGGCATTCCGTCAGTCGGCTACTCGGCCACCTACTCGCATACGACAAACAAAGCCTGGGGCTGCAGCAAGCCGTTAAACAGAGCGGCGATGAGTCGTTTCGTATGGTGCATGCCTTATGGTGAGCTATGCTGATCGATACAAACGGACCGGCCCCGCCATCCGACAGGGCGACCGGCATTCCCGCTGTCCAGGCTGCTTTGCCCACCGGGTGGTGCTTTAAAGACGGGGTTGACACAGGAAGGTGCTGTGGGCACGCATCGACAGTGACGACCCGTGCCGCGGCCGTCTGCTGAGGACCCACGACATCACAGAGGTCGTCGTGTGATAGTCAGCGGTAAGCCTGCCGATCGAGTTCTCTGCCTTTGATGCGCCCGAAGCACTCGCTGACCCGACCGCTTCCCCCAGTCGGTCTCACGGACGTGATTATGACGTCACAACAGGGGGCGGGTGGCGGACTGAGGGTTGTTGCCTGGCGATTGGGTGTTGGTGGTGTTTTACTGGGTGGAGAGGGTCTGTCTGTCTGTCTGTCTCACGAGCAGTGGTGGAAGGAGACTGAGTGCGTCTGAATGAGTGGCGTGACTGAGTTCTTTGAAAAGCACTTGATGCTTCACTCACATAGCGGGCGGGGGGGGGGGCATTTCATCTGTGTGCCCATGCGTCTCTCTCTCTCTCTCCCTCTCTCTCTCCGTGCGCATGTGTGTGTGGATGGACGGATGATGGATGGATGTGTGTTGATAGCGTGTGTGTTTATCAGACAGCAAACGAGCGATCGACTGAGTATGACTGAGTGCACACACATTCATCGGCTGAAGAGAGGAGGAACCGCGCGCACTCGTCACCCCCACACCGGGCCCCACGGGTGGAATAAGAGCTCAAGAACAGCTCCAGAACTCCGAGAAAAAAACGGTGAGCGCAATGGACAAATACTGTATGCTTCATTTGACAGGAGATACATGATGAGTGCTTTTGTGTTTCAGCCAATGAAGTTCTTGGGCCTTCTTCTGCTGGTGTGCGTCGCCCTCCCTGTTGTGCGCTGCCATGACCTCTCGGCAGGCACGCCTGCTGGCTTCTTGCACGGGCGCACTCGTGGATCTCCCCTGAAGCGCCGCATTACGTCCCTCAAAAGCCGACGAACCGATGTCGACCCCGACGAGTGAGTTACACACGTCAAAGATGAGGAGCGTAAGTCGTGCAGCCGTTCCTCCATTGTCTGCTTGTCGCATGAATGTGTTAGGCACGTGCATGCAGAGAGCTCCTGTTCATCACCAACCACAAAATGAACGTCCTTGGTGGGACAAAGGAGTCATTCGGTAATCCCGATTCACCCACCAAGCCCGTGAGCTTCGACGAAAAGAATAACGATGCCACGGGAAACGTCCACTTCTGCAAGAGCGGCCCCGACGATGAACACAAAGAAGTCTTCTCTAAGAACTTCCTGGACCGGCTGCTCAACAGCAAGGCCGACCATGTGCTGTTCTCCATCCATGGCTTCAACGTGCAGCCCGCAAGTGCTCTCGACCAGACGGCCAAGATCCAAGAGCAGTTCAACGCGATGGCTAAGACAGGGGACAACCCGAGCAAGGTGAAGGTGGTGGGTCTCATCTGGCCATGTGGCGACAAGATCGGCATCATCCGGGACTACTGGAATGACCGCCGGCGCGCATATGCCTCCGTAGCAGGATTCGAGCGAATGCTTGCCAAGGTGCTGCGAGCCGACGAGCGAATCCTTGGCACGGTGCCGCTGCCCGACTCGAAGACCGACCTGCTCATGCAGAAGAAGCTGAGCATCATGGCACATTCCATGAACCGCGTGCTGTGGCAGACGCTCATTCGAGCGGACGAGATGTACGGGATAAAAGGCGTATTCGGCGATATCTTCATGGTGGCGACCGACGTGCTCAACAACATGCTCAACGAGCCGTCGTCCATCTGCATGGCAGCGGACCGTGTGTGTGTACTACGCATCTGACGATCGGCCTCTGACGTACAGTCTTGGCCGTATCCCCAGCGGATGGCGCCAGCGGATGGGCCGCGTGGGGCCAGCGAAAATGGACAGAGTGCACAAGAACGTGTGGGAGATCGACTGCAACGGCTTCAACAGCGACGACGACCTGGGCGGGTGCCTCGGCCACGGCTACCACACGTCGCCCGTCACCCTACGCGGCCAGCCCTATGCGAACCCCGTGCTCTGTCACATGCGGCAGACGATGCTCGAAGGTCGCGTAGATACGATAAACAAGCCAGAGGAGGCGCGAAGCCTCGTACTCAAGCGAGACTATTGCCAAAAAAGGGTGGCAGGCAGCAGGATGGCCAGCAGCAGAGTGGCGAGCAGCAGAGTGGCGCGTCATGAGCGAGTGCGGAGACAGGGCGGATACAGGGCCCTCCACACCTGTATGCATTTTTCCGTTTTTGCTGTACTGCCTGCTTGCTGTTACTTCTGTCCCTCTGCTGGGTGGCTGTATTGATGTGACAAACACACGGTACGTTGAGCTGTGCCAATCACACACACACACACACACACGCACATCATACACCTTTTCACGCACGCACCCATGTTTGTATGTATCGATACGTGGTGCCACGTTTTGTTTTTGTCGCATCCGTCACATCGGGGGATGGCTTTTCGCTGATTTTTGTCTGTCGCATGGACGAGGGTGGCGGGGTGATGGGAGGGTGAGGGGTTGTTAAAGCGGGAGAATTGGGGACAAGTGGTTGATAATACGGTTAGGGTGCGGCAAGTAGATGGATCGGCGCGTTAGTGTCGTCCTTTGGGGAGCATTCGGACCGTCTGTTAGTGCATTCGAACCGTCTTTTAGTACATTGTGTCATTGCTGCATTCGGACAGATACGTGAAGGCTCTCTGACAGCACCAAAATGGAACTATTCCAGTTCACACAATGACGACGTCTTATACACAACCAACACACGTATCAGTAGCCAGTCTCTTTCTGAATTCCTACAGCCCATCATAGCCGCCGTACAGTTGAGCATTCTCCGTGAACAGCATCTCATCAGACGCACATCGCAAGAGCAAGCTACGCATCAACCACCTGCGCACACACACATGTGTATGCACATACTGAACATGAAACTGCCGCTGCCACACTCGCAGACCACCGGCAAAAAGCAAACAACACACCTGAGAGCATGCATGCACAGCCAGCCAGCCAGCCAGCCAGTCAGTGTGTGTATGTGGGCAGATGGTCTGTGTCTTGATGAACACCACAGAGTGCTGCAGAGAGCACCCGAACGAAACAGCGGCGAGATAGACGAGTGCGAAAAAACAACCTGCCATAGCCACCACACCAGCAGCACACCGACAGCATTACACATTATGGTCACATACATGCCAGCCATCCGGTCGGTGTGCATCCGTGCGTATCAGAGAGTGTTGAGAGAGCACCCGAACGGAAAAGCGACGAAACACAGGGATGCAAGAACAATTGCCATAACCACAGCACACCAACACAACAACAGCACGCCGACAACACATACATATGCGCACCCGTTACCTTCCCTACATCCCTTCCCGTGTTCCACATAAAAGAGAACGCAAAGCACCACCCAGGACACCCACTATTGGATGTACATTAGGTGTAGCACATACAAACCTATACAGCAAGTTAGCCGGGTAATCCATTAGCAGCCATTCCATGACCACCCGACACAACGCCACACGAGCCGCATCGAGAGTAAGCGAACAATCCAATGCACGCAAAACATGCCCCTGAAACATGCCCCTCACGCTTTCGATTTCTCCTTGCACACGGCCAAGGAAAGGCAAGAAGCGCGTCACACGCATGTCTGCCAGCATGTCTACACGCTCGCTGTTGCGACTAGTGTGCTCGATGTATGGATGCTCGTGTGTGCCAACGATGTGTGCATCTAGAAAAGTAAGAGACGAGCCAACCTCCTTCATGTCAAGACTAAGACAACCGCTATATGTACACTCGGCCACCCGACGCAGACAAGACACGCATAAGACAGTAGAGGCATACAGGTTGTCATCCACGTAACGCACCGCCCGCCAAGGCAGCTGCGAGAAAAGACCTTGCCGCCGCCGAGCAAAAATCTGCTCGCGACAAAAGTCCCTCTCCCGAGCGGACAAGGCTAGGTCGGACATTACCATGGAAGACATCCCACCCATCGGCAGACCCGTGCGCTGGCGCATGACGATCTGACCGATGCGAAAAACACGCCAACGCCAAGCAAAGCCCATCAGACACGCCACCTCATCAAACGTAAAGGACACTTCACGCTTGTTCTTGCTGCGCTTCCTGGTGATGCGACCCTCCACACGTGTGCCTCGCTTCACACAGATGTACTTGCCATGTGTGCGGTGCTTGGCCAAAGTAAGTATCTCCCTAGCTGCAGAGAGTGCGCTGTCTCCATCTATGATGGTGAGCATGGATGGAATGTCCCCCTTGACAAAAGAAAACGCATCCTTCCTGTCTCCACATTGCACGCAGCACTCCGTACATGCCTGCTCTTTCCGCATGCTCGACAGGAAGTCAGACAGAAAGCTATCGAGAACCCTTCATGGACCACAGCTGCCATGAGTCGACACCCACAAGCATAGCAGCTATCCATAGAGCCCGACTAGGCATGCGCAACAGAAAGCGAGTGGCGGAACAGACAAACGACATGATGACACGCTCGTGTGCATGCTGTTTGGAGCAGCCGTGCACACCATACGACTTATCCTTAGGCAGCACGTATGCGTAGGGTAGATTGCGAACATGCCAGCCCTTCCTGCACAGTCTCAGCCAGTCCTTCCCCATCGTACATACAAGATCATCCTTCATCGCCTGAATGGCCTCCTCAGGAGACCATTCAGGAGACCATTCAGTGCGCTCGAAGTTAAGATGATTAACCACGGATCGACGCAGCATGCCACAATATGCCTTTCTTGTGCAGACAAGGGCACGCTTGCTGTTCTTATCCAATGGCACACAAATACGACCCTCGCTACTCTGGTCGGCCACTCGACTGATACGATTTGCGACCTCTCTCTCCTCCGTTGTGACGGGCTTTGACGGTCGCAAGCACTCCGTCACAATGGAGGAAAAAAGGGAGGCAGACAGGTCGATCGCATGTGCATCCGCCCAGACAGCCAACTCCCTCGCTAGTGCGTGATGCTCACGGTGCAAATCGTGAATTGCAGGAAGAGCCATGTTATCCTCTACGCGTGCACATGCACCATCAGGCAGAGGGAAGGACGTATCAGCCATGGCAATCTCATCTGCACTCACACTCTTGGCATAGGCAATGTGATTGCACAGCACCCGCCGATAAGATCGAGCAGGTGAATTACAAAATGATGCGCTCGACAGAATAGCACGACACCTCTCACTGCCCACCCCTTCAGTCAACACAACACTGCGCAAATGAGCATGTAAACGAGCAGTAACAAAGACGCTTGCAGGCAGACGCAACTTGGTACGTACAGGCCAGATGAGACCACGCTGTCTAAATACACCAAAAAGGCGGCGCAGGAAGAGCACCTTCCTCCCCCACACACGCAGCCGATGCCCCAAACGCAGCAGATGGAAAAGAGAGTCATCAGACACCCGCTTCCACTCAACACGTGACTTCTTCTCGGCTGCAAAACATACGAGCAGCGATACACAGCTCGAGTCGGCATACAGGTCAACTGCACGATCGGAATGCCGCTCTTGCCATGCCTGTGCTGCCTGACTATAATTACCCCACCTCCATGTATGCTTGCTGAAGGCAAAGGGGGTAGAAAGAGAGAGGCAGAGCAGAGCCGCAGGCTGCCACGGCTGATGTGCAGGAAGGGGTCAAATCCAGAGGGCGCATGTAGAGAAGCAGGCACTTTATGTAACCGACAAACAACACGGTCGATCAGTGACGACTCTAGGCCTTTTCTGTACATATTGGCATGCAGGTGAGGAGAGAGAGAGTCACCATCCATGCGTCGGCGAAGCCATGAGCTAGGCCTGCCTCTGTGCACACCACCACCTACCAAGGCAACATGAAAACCCCTCGCAGCGATGTGTGGGCATGGGTTATCATACACATTGCCTTTGGGCTGGTATGCATGTATGATGGCACGCTCAATCTCACGCACAACATGCAACTGCGGATGGGGAAGAAGAGGAAGGAAGTGGAGTGAGTCGGCATTATGCCGCCGCCACACCCGATATCTCCTCTCTAGCCTAACTGGCTGACGCACAGCAGAGCCACACACACGCAGGTCGGTCGGAGAAGGATGATGCATCTTGTGCATGTGCTCCATGTGCCTCCCATGCAAATGTGCAGTGGAGCCAACATAGTAGATGCATGAGTCAGGCGAGAAGAGAACATACAGCCATGCCCATGAGTCGTCAGCCAGTCGTTCCAACATCCACTCCCATTCCTTCACTCCACTCCATTCCGAGTAAGGGGCACCCACTGCGTGGGCACCCCGGGCCGCGAATTGGGCGGGGGTCGAGAAAAGCGTGCGAAGTGGTGGTTCAATTATGCGTCACAGAGACGTGCACAGCACGAGTGTTGGCGAGAAGCACACGGACGCATGCAACAATGGCGAGAGCTTCAAAAACATGCAGACAACAATGGCGGGAGCTTGAAAAACATGCAGATCTTGAAGACAGACGTGGCGATAGCATGCAGGTACTCAGGGCTGCACCAAGAACACAAGACACCCCCCATGTTGCCGCTCCTGTGGCGTCCGAGTTGATGACTATCAATCGGCTTGTCAATCAAATGGGAACCGCCAGGATCAGCCCAAAGATGACCTGCACCAGCAACGCAACAAGGTAAATGAAATCGGCCACAGCCGCGCCACATCAGATGAAGCAAGCCTCCTGAGAAGCTTCTCTTCGAGTCGAATCTTCACACACGGTGGTCACTCGATGGATGCTGCCAGCCTCACTCGACTGCTGGCGCAGCCGGCGTCCGCATTCAAGCCGCATGAGACTGGGCGAGCCGTTATCAATTGAACGAAGAGCAGATTCGGGCGTTCCAAATCATCTGCAGCAACTTGCTGAACCACTACAAAGACCTGAGGGACAACAAATACATCGCGCCATTACTCATGTGTGCCTGACCCGCAGGGGCGGCACCGGCAAGACCGTCATGAAAGCCGTGGAGGCTTGTTCTGCTGAAGTGCAATGCAGACATTGGCTGTGTCTGGCGGCCATGCTGGCGGCACTTACCGGTGTGGCTGCAGATAACACCGAAGGCTGGACAGTCGATTCGCTCCTGCACGTCTTTGATGACTCCGAGAGTGGCGAGAAGAGGCTGCGGCGCCAAGCGGGGAAGCAGCAGACAGTCGATGGTGACCGCATTTGCAGAGAGGAGTCTTGCAAGCATATCCACTACCAAGCCCACTGCCCCAAGTCCGCCAGAAGCTCGACAAAGTCGATGCGGCACTGAGGGGCCTGTGAAAAGGCACCCAAGAAAGACCAAGCTCAACCAGCTGCATGACCGGACAAGGGAGAAACATCCCATCCACCACAAACTGGCGCGTTTCGTGCCAGTTTCGTGTGCTAACAGTCAGTTGATGCAACTTTTAAGAAGTTTGCGCCCAGAGAGACCCTTGTTCGTTGACTTTCTCCGCGAAGCAAGCGCGATCTTCTTCAAGGAGCAGCGGTTTCATGGAGCACCCTAGACGGACTGACGGCCAAGCTTTTTTCAATAACTTGTAGCTTTAGGGTACATCAGTTTAACGATCATTGATCCAAACGTGACAAAAAAACACGAAGCTTCTCGACATATTGACGTATCTGTAGTACTGCAAGCAACACATCACCGCTACCGCTTTTCCTTTTCTCTTCCATACGATCGTGATCGAACGTTTTGTCTGCCGGACGTGCTGTTTCTTAAAGACGCAAATTGGGCATTAGCCCAATTCGCGGACTCCACTCTACTCACTAGCAGGCCCTTCTTGCCCCCCCTGAAGTAACGCAGCTTGTACAGACAGTGGCAAAAAGCGCGAGATGATACGGACAGTCCGACTCGACTCACGGGCAGCAATGCACGACATGGATGCAAGAAGCCAGTCACGCAACGTTTGCACATCACTCTCGTCGCGACGGGCACTCATACAGGACCTCTCTTTACATCTCTCTGCAGCCCTCGCAAGCAAATCACGAGCATTCACCCCCTCATTCCAGCCAGTCACATGCATAGATAGTCAGTCAGTCTCGGCAGGGGGCTGTCGGCCGCGCAGGAGGATGTGCGCGATGATTCTCTTGACCACCGGCTGCCCCCACCTGCTGGTGTTCATGTCGATGCCGCATTTGCGGAGAATGTGCTGCTTTTCCTTCTTGTTCCAGCTCCATGCCTTCATGACCTGCTTGACCAGGTTCTGCTCGGTGTGCACGGTGTGGAGCTGGTCTCAGGGCACCTGAAAAGACAGCCTCTGCTCTACCAGCTCGATGTCGGCCCTCGTCAGCTCGTTGCCATGCCGCTGCTCGTCCTCATCATCGCTGAGGTCGGCCAATTCTTGGTCCAAACTCCTTTGTAAATTCACCCTGACATGATAATCTTGTGGTCACATTTGTGGCATGCTTTTTCGGCCGCAGACAAGGTACAAAGAAAGGTGTGATTCTGAATGAAATTTAGTATGTTTTTCTCCCTTCATACACATGAGAATTTGACGTTTCATCACGTCACAATTCATTTGCTCAACAATTGTTCGATTTGTATCGCATCTCCTACTCAGAGAGAGGACGATTGAATAGATCCCTGTCTGCCTCTTCTCTCTTTGCCTGTGTGCTTTCTCTGATGAATGAATAAGAGAGGGAGGTATGTATGCTCTATTGAGCCTTCAAGATGCGGTAATTTTGAAAGAATCCGAGAACAGTCTTTTTCCCGTGTTAGTGATGGCAGAACAAGAGCTTGAATGCGAGTATCTTACAAGGCGCCTCTTCAGCGGACCACTGCATGCTCTGAAAAGCTCCGTAAGCTTTGTTAAAGTCTTCTTACTGAACTCCATCGAACCTGGAAGATACAATAGTTTTGGAGGAATCCGAGAGAAATCTTCTTACTGTATTAGTGAGAGCAGAGTAGAAGTTTGAAAAGATGCATCTAACGCATCCTATTCAGCGCTCCATTCCAAGCTCAGCAAAGCTCCATTGAACCGGTAAGATGCAATCCTGACGGTGTTCGGCGCTCAATTCCAAGCTCAGCGAAGCTCCATTGGACCCGCAAGATAGGATGCTTTTAGAAGAACCTGACAGCAGTCTTCCTACCGTGTTAGTGATAGCAGAATGAAAACTTAAAGTGTGTTGTATACATCAGGAACCTGTGAGTTGAACCCCAGAGTCCCTTCGGTCCCGAGGGTTTCAACTTACAGATTCCTCATGAGGGGTGGGGAGTCTGAGTTGGCTGGGATAGAGAGGGTTGGGGCTGATGTGGCGCTGTGGGCTGATGCTAGGGTGAGCACGCAGTGATTGAGAAGGCACATACGCTTAGATGAGTCAGATGAGCACACACCATCCGTCCAATCAGTCAGTAGGCACGCACGCATCATTTGTTAGTCCCTCCATCTACGCAAGCAAAGCAAACATGCATGCATCAGTCAATCAGGCCTTATGGCCATCACCTGCTTCCTGATTACGCATTTACGAAGGCAGACACAGAAAGTGCTTAGGATGCAGGCAAAATCTTCCAACACCTACACCCACAGTCAGTGATACGGCCGACTATACGGCCTATTGGGAGCACACCACTGACTGGTAAGCGAGAGCACACAGAGCGAGGCACGCAGACAGACACTGACAGACCGACCGACAGGTTGAGAGCACGCACGCAGAGAACTCTCTGTATCATCTCACACGCCAACACCGAAAGCAACTACATTCAATCCCACAAAAAGTTTTTTTCCAATCACAATGCACGTTTGGACTTCTAGTGGGTGTACATCATGAATGTCTCTATGCGCACACCTGTGCATGCACGTTTGGACTTGGAGTGTATATATAAAATGACCAAACGTAGAGTGTGTGCATGTAATGAATGACTTTGTGCGCACACCTGCGCATGCACGCGTCGAGTAGAGTGTGTGTATATGATGAATATCTCTGTGCGCACACTTTTGCATGCACGTGTCGATTTGGAGGGTGTGTATATCATAAATGTCTCTGTGCGCACACCTGGACATGCACATACACGTTTGGACTTGGAGTAGGTATACATCATGAATATCCCAGGTGTATGCACGTTTGGACTTGCACGTTTGGACTTGGAGTGGCCGTACATTGTGAATGTTTCTGTGCGCACACCTACACAGCATGCACATGCATGTTTGGACTTGGAGTAGGTGTATATAATGAATGTCTCTGTGCGTACACCTGCGCATGCACGTTTGGACTTGCACGTTTGGACTTAGAGTGGGTGTCCATCATGAATGTTCCTGTGCGCACACCTGCGCATGCACGCGTTGCATACAGTGTGTGTATATGATGAATACCCCTGTGCGCACACCTGTGCATGCACGCGTTGGCTTGGTGTGTGTATATGATGAATGTTTATGTGCGCCCACCTGCGCATACACGTTTGGATTTAGAGTGGGTTTACATGATGATATCTCTTTTGCACACCTGTGCATGCACGTTTGGACTTAGAGTGGGTGTCCATCATGAATGTCTCTGTGCGCATACCTGTGCATGTCCGTGTCGATTTGGAGGGTGTGTATATGATGACTATCTCTGTGCGCACACCTACACAGCATGCACGTTTGGACTTGGAGTAGGTGTATATAATGAATATCCCTGGGCGTACACCTGCGCATGCACGTTTGGACTTGCACGTTTGGACTTGAAATGGGTGTCCATTATGAATGTCTCTGGGCGCACGCCTGCGTATGCACGTGTCGATTTGGAGGGTGTGTATATGATGAATGTCTCTGTGCGCATGTATGTGATGTGATTGGCTTGACCAAGTCAGACACATTTCTGGCTGGTGCATTGTGTGTAACAGGGTCCACTTCAGTTCGTTTCTCGAGTGTCCCGTTCCACTTCAACAAAAGCTTGACGACTTCCATATGGCCTTTACAAGCCGCCCAGTGGATGGGGAAAAAGCCTCCCTGCACACACACTACGGGGACAATGTCCCTACTGTCTGTCCTGGTGTCAAGCAGCGCCCACATCTACCTGTTGGTCAAGGAGCGCCTTGCCCCCCTTGGCGTGCATCGCCTTCAGCACAGCCACTTTACCGCAAAACACAGCAACTTGAATGGGTGTAGTGTTCTTCTACACGGCAACCAAAAACAGGGACAGTAAGCAAACCATGCGCAGGGGTGCGCACACAGACATTCATCATATACACACACACCGAGTCAACACGTGCAGGCGCAGGGGTGCGCACAGACACGTTCATTATATACACACACCAAGTCCAAACGTGCATATGCAGGGGTGCGCAAAACACGTTCACTATATACACACACACCAAGTCAACCCGTGCATGCGCAGGGGTGCGCACACACCAAATCCACAGCTGCGCACGTACGCGTGGACTTGCAGGGGTGAATATGATAGACGTCTCTGTGCGCACAGCTGCGCACATACGCGTGAACGTGCAAGGGGTGTATCTTATGAATGTCTATGCGAACAGCTGTGCAAGTACGCGTGGACTTGCAGGGGTGAATATGATAAACATCTCTGTGCGCGCAGCTGCGCGCAGCTGCGCATGTACACATGGACTTGCAGGGGGTGTATCTTATGAATGTCTCTGTGCGCACAGCTGCGCATGTACGCGTGGACTTGCAGGACTGAATATGATAAACATCTCTGTACGCACAGCTGCGCATGTACACATGGACTTGCAGGGGGTGTATCTTATAAATGCCTCTGTGCGCACAGCTGTGCACGTACGCGTGGACTTGCAGGGGTGAATATGATAAACATCTCTGTACGCACAGCTGCGCATGTACACATGGGCGCCACTCAAGCAAAACCAACAGGCCATCCAACCTCACTCACTGCCCACTTGGGGCAACCACATAGGTGGCTAATCTATTCACATTGTTGCATATGCGATCAACTCTCACTTCTTCCTAGCCGCACTGAGAGTGGTCTTCCCTGTCAGCGACGACTATGGGTCGAAGTCGTCCTCATCCGTCTCTGCCTTCAGGTCGATGCGGCACGCAGGTGGGAACACCTCCATCGCGAGGGAAAAAGGGCATGCAGCCCGTAGCGTGAGTCGTCGGGTGACCCGCCGTGTGGAGGGGGCGAGAGGCCGTACACCGATGCTGGCGTGTTCATGACGTGCAGACCGATGAAACGCAGCGGCTGCACCCATGTAGGCACTGCAGACACACACACACACACACACACACACACACGAGACAATACACAAATCTTGAAAAGTGGGAAGCGTCGGATGGACTGGGGAGTCTTTTCTGACCTGGTAGTGGGATGAAGTCGTCCGTGTAGCTGTCGTGTTTGAAATTTGAAAGAGAGTGCGAAGGCAACATACATACACGAAACGGCACTGTATCAACACACAAGAGAGGATGGGAACGGGTGTAGGCGCATTGATTTCCATCGTTTCTCACCCCGTGAGTGTCGCGAAGAGCTCGCTGTGCACGTGTTGACCCAAATACACTAAGTACTTGTCCTCTCCAGCCGCAGAGCCTGATACACAGCGCATAGTGTGTCCAGCTTGCGATTCCCTCATTTCGCGAGACTTACCCCTCCCAATCCCAAGCCCAACAGGCAACGTCGTCTTGTGTCGAAGGTCGCCTTGCCCCCCAGTCGGCGCCTCCATGTCTCCACAGCCCTGATGGCCCGGGCCACCACCCGTTTGCTGCCCGCCTCCCTCTTGTCCCTGACCACGCAGCCGCGCAGGGCCGGGTAGGTGAGTGTGGCATAGGCATTCACCGAGCCATGCACGTTGAGCAAGGGTAGTGGATGGGCCACTGCTCGCAGTCGGCCATCTGCACATCGAGCTTCTTGCCGGCAACTCGCACTTGATTGTAGACACACATCTTGCGAGGAACACCAGCGCCTGCCAACACATGACACCACCCACCACATGTGCGAAAGGCTTTCGATGTCATTGTGCTGCCGACTTGCGTCTCGCACATCGAATCTCTTCAGGGACGGCAGACCGACGACATGCGCATTTGGACTTGGAGTGTGTGTAGGTGATGAATGTTTGTGTGCGCACACCTGTGCATGCGCAAGCATGCGCATGAATAATGAAACATTCACCACGTGTGGGGTGAGGGTTAAGCATTACCGTGCTGTGTTTGGGGGCAGTAAGTACTTCATGGCTGATGAAGTGGAAGTCATTCATGTCGACGGCCGATCACTGCTCTCACTCAAGGTCATAAACACAGACATCAGCGAGGGAGAGCGGTATCGGTGTTCTGTTGATTTGATTGCAGGTGATCGAGGGTGCAACTTTTGATCCACTCCAGTCGGCGGCACTCTATCGGTTCATCGGAGCGACAACTGGAAACACACTGAAGCTCATCTACAGGTGTCCTATATCGTCCGTCGTTTGACTCTCTCTCTCTCTCGTCTTTCTCCTATTTTCAGGGCTTCTCGTGACGGGCCATTGTATGGCGACTTCCTGCGGTGTGCGGGTGACACGAAGAACCTAGTGTTTGTCATCCGCAAGGACAAGTACGTCTTCAGCGCCTTCATCAGTGACGGCATCTGGCCGCCCGACGACCCAACAGGCTACAACGACTACTGGTGTGATGTTTGGTATTTCTCTCAGGCCGGCCACTTCACCAAGGGACCTACCAAAATGGGGGAGGGCTGGCTGCCAGTGCAGGTGGCCGGGCGGGAGAGGACAGCGGATGGGGCGAAGGTGAGGCTCGGTGGGTGGCTGTGGTTGGGCTATGAGGGTGGCGCTGCTAGTGATATGCGCAGCTGTTGTCACTGGATCCCCAGCCGTGTCGTGCCTGAGGACTATGTGGGAGTGAGAGACCATGGCAACGCTGTGTTTGGGGGCAGTGAGGCATTTATGGCCGACGAAATGGATGTCTTCACTGTAGCGTGACGGCGTGGGAATTGAGGACTGCATGTCGTTTCTGGACCTGCATGTATGTGTCTTGCTATCCAGCTGTATGGTACCTCTACTGCAACTCCTACTCACGGCGACATGGGCCTTACCTAGGATATTGCGTATCGTGCATATTCATTTGAGCAACGAACTTCGTTGATTCGCTCCATTGTCGCATACGAACAATACACCCGCCCACCCACATCCGGAAGACAACATAACCGTCAAGACCAGTGTAGTCAGCATGATGATGAGAGGAAGGGATGGACTGACAGACGACCTGACAACAGATACAATAACATCAACAGGAACAATGGCAATGGATAGAGGAACCAGGTGAGCAACACCAACAGACAGAGCAGCAATTACTGGCGACCTGCCTCATCCACTTATGCCCAATCCTCTCAGCGCACCTGGCACACTGGCGGACAGCAGCAGAGAGGAGGGCAGCAGCAGCAAACATGGCGCCCTACAGAATGACGAGATAAGGATGCGACGTCATTATGAACAACACCCGAGCACGAGCCAACGAGAGACGGAACGACCGACGTCCCAATCGCCAATACGCCAACCAATTCGACGTCTACGAAGAGGAAAAACAACAGCAACAAGGAAATGAGGACTTCGCTACGATTGGAGAAGTCGAGATAGAAGAACTGGCTGATGAGGTGGTGCACGTGAATGGTGTGTCTTCATCCTCACCTACGGCAATGATGATGAACACCGGAGCAGTGCGATCATGCTGCTTTGAGGAGCAGCTTTTCGACGAGATCAAACCACTCGATCACGACATCAACGTCATCATGGCGAATGAATCAACCGCACCAGCAATGGGTGTCGGCTGCGTCAAGTTCACCTGTGGAGAGATCAACAAAGGCAAGAAGAAGGTCATGGTGGACAACGTGCTGTATGTGCCCAAGCTTAAGTTCAACCTGCTTTCTCTCGCTTACCTTATCAATGATTACAACGTCAAGCTCGAGATTGATCATGGCGCTACGTTCTTGAAGGCAAAGAGAGGAGAGTACAGTACTTACCCCCCATGATTGAGTTGGTGATTTCTCGGCTGTTTCTCCTCCTTTTCGGATGAGCGAGCGTGTATCGGACTACACCCAACCCCCTCCACCTACCCTCATCCCGCG